ATGATGGGAAAATATACTGTGAAACAATACTAAAAAGAAAGCTTGAGTAGTTATATTAATATCATAAAAAGCAAAGTTTAGAACACAGAATATTACTGAAGACAAACAGGAACATCACATAACAATAAAAGAGTCAGTTCTCTAATAATGTATAACAATACAAAATGTTTATAACTTAACAATAGTTACAAAAATAGGAAACAAAAATTGAGCAAACTGATGGAGAATTAGACATACACACAATTATGGTTGAAGACGTCAGCATTACTGTTGGTAATTAACAGAACAAGAAAATATAAAATCAGTAAGGATGCAAAATACCTTAAAAACACTATGAATCAATTTGGCCTAACTGACATTTAGAAAAGACCTCACACAAAAACAACAGAATATACGCTCATTTCAAGGGCTCATGGTACACTTATCATACTCTGGGCCATAAAACAAACCTTAAAAGTTCAAAAGCATAGAAATCATACAAACTATATTCTCTGACCATAAAAAAGTAAACTACAAATTAACAAAAATATACTTAGAACACTCACCCTTAATATTTGCAAATTAAACCACATACTTCTAAATTAACCCATGGGTCAAAGAAGTCTCAAAAGGAATTTAAAAATATCTTAAAACAAAATGAAAAGGAAATGAGTACAACATATAAAAATGTGTGGGAGGTAGGTAAAACAGTGTTCAAAGGAAGGTTCATAGCATTTTATGCTTATATAAGAAAAGAAGAGAGGTCTAAACTAAATAATCTAAATTTCCACCCTAGAAAATTAGAAAGAAGAAAAAATTAAACTCAAAACTGGCAGAAGAGAAGAAAGTAATAAATATAGAAACAGAAATACATGAAATGTAAAATTGATAAACCTCTAGCTAGACTTAGCACACACAAAAAAGTGAAAACACAAATAACCTATAACAGGAATGAAAGGGTGGCTATCCACAGAGACCCACAGATACACATTTAGGTGCATAATCCATGGTTGCCATGGGTTGGGGGCAGGGATGAGTCGGTGAAAGACAGGATTTTTAGGACAGTGAAACTACTCTGTATATTATAATGATGGCTCCATGTCATCACATATGTCTCCAAACCCCTAAAAGCACACCACCCAGAATGAACCCTAATGTAAACTATGGACTTTGGACAACAATGACGTGTCAATGTAGATTTATCAATAATAATAATTTGTAAAAAGACACATGACAGACTAATGAAATAGTGACCTTTATAACAAACAGTTACTGTCCAGGTTATATTAAAAACTTTGAAGTCAAAAACAATACAAATGGGCAAAGAACCAGAATAAAAAATTCAAATAAGTAAAAATGAACACAGCATACTAAAAAGTGGGGTCAATCTCATCACTAATCAGGAAAAGTAAAAACTAAAACAATAAGGTCAGGCAAAACTAGGTCAGGGTGTAAGGAAATGAGTAGCCACATCACATAAGCCCTTGGTCAGAGTGCATACTAGTATGCCCTTTAGGGAGGGTAATTTAACAGACACCTATAAAAATGTAAAATGCATAGATATCAGATATCTTTTAAAAAATTTAATCTCCCCTGCCCCACACACACACACACACACACACACACACACACACACAGGCAGTATTCAAGGTCACATCACAGTAGCTCAGGCCAAGGGATCATAAGCAGAAGAAACGTGCGTCCCCTCTGAACAAGAACATTTCATTTCCTGCCTGCTCTCTCTTCCATACTAGTAACCACGGAGTTGCTTTTGGTGCAGCAACAGAACAGTTGAGCCTCCCCCATTAGCCAGGGCCCCTGAGGGACAGGGTGGAGCTGAATCCCCCACCGCCCCATGTGGCATGAGTGAGAAATATATCTTTGTTGTATAAAACTGCACAAACCTTCAACTCAGCAATTTGGCTTCTGGGTATCCATCCTAACTGTACAACTATTTCTAATGGAAAAACAGAATAAGGTACACTGTAGGTAATCATCTACCGAATGACTAAAGAAATTAAAATAGAGCTCTGTTCTTTGACATAATAGTCTGAGCCCATTTATGTAAAATATACATATGCAAATAATAAAGGTCCAGAACAATTCACTGTTAATTGTCTATAACTGTTGCTTAATAATTAACAATGTTTGGCTCTCAGGCAGGGAGTGGGATGGGAAAGAGGCACTCACGGGGATCTTTCATTTTTATTCAATATCCTTCTGTATTGTTTAGCTTTTTTTAATGCAAGCTATTTATATAGTATCTGTGCCATTTTAAAATCAATAACAATATTTTTTAAATTAAGGCATTTCCTATACAATGTAAACAACCAGTTAAAAGATATAGTGGGAAAACTGAGCACATTCCAAAAAGCAACCAAAAAGATTAAATAGCAAAGGTTGACTTTAAAAAAAACAACTATTGAGAAATTCTAAGAAGAACCACAAAATTCTCCAGAGCTATTTTAAAAAGCGCAAATGTATGAAGGTGTATGTACAATGTTTCTGGATGGGAAGTCTTAAGATATTAAAGATGCCAGATTGCAACTCGCTGATCAATAAAAATAATGCAGTTACAATCATAATCCCAGGGGATCCCTTTTCAGAACTTCACAAAATGAGTCTCAAATACCTCGGGGAGAAGTCAACGAAAACAGTCAAAAAAGTCTGAAAAAGATGAATATTGAGGAGGCACTTCCACATTATATAAAACACAATATAAAGCCACAGTCATTGTACGTGTAGTATTGGAACAGGAAAAAACTACCAACTGAACAATAGAGAAAGCTTAGAAGCATCCCTTCGTGTATTGGGAAAAGAATTTGTAAAAAAAAAAAAAATTTGCCTGAAAAATTAGTGTCAGATGAAAGAATTTTTGGCTAAATGGCACTGAAAGAATTAAATAGCAATGGGGTGGGAAACAGGTTCCCACTTCACAAGAGGAACCCAAGTTTGGGATTCACTGTAAAAATTAATTTCAGGTGAGTCTAAGAGTCAGCAAGCTGAAACACACACACACACACACACAGCCACCACCACCACACCCCACAAAACTATGAAAATGTAGAGTAAGAAAAACGAGGGAGGGAGCCACCTGATTTTTACTAGAAAGATATCCTAGAATTTAAACGAATACTTTTTCATGCAGAAAAAAAAGATTATGCAGGAAAATAGAAACAAAATCAACTGGTACATAGAAACATATGTCAGATAAAAGCTGAAGTGATTAATATATGAAGATTTTCTCGGGAATATTAATAAAAGTACATAAATGAGCAAAGGACATGAAGAAATGGTTCACAGATGGAATATACCAAAGGGCTATTAAATATGTAAAAAAACACTTTATCTCATGAATGAGCAAAACATATAAACAAAAACAAGAATGAGGTTTTGGTTTTTATTCATTAAATTAACAAATATCGTTTTGAAAATCAAGAATGCTTCATGCTTATGAGGATGAGATGGACACCGTGGATGAACCGTTGTGATGCACAACTTTCAGAAGGGACTTTTGTAATATGTTTCGAGTCTTAAACTGTACATATCTTAAACCTAGTAATTTCTCTTCAAGGACTCCAAAAACTTGACAAGGTATCATGCATGTTTACTGCATTACATGGAAACCGACAAATCTCCAACAAACTGGTTAAAAGGAAAGACGCATGCTCTAAAAATTATATGTACAACTAGGTTTTAAGGATGTGGAAAGTGATGAAATATTAAATTAAAAACAATGCTTTTCATACTTCCAGGGAATCCTAGATTTTTCCAGTTAGTTGCTCTCAATAAATCACATCTTTTCTGTATCCATGCCCTTTTGCAATTCATCTTTGCCTCTCTTCACATCAAGGGATGGCATGTGTTTTCCAACTCCTGACTCTAGACTTTGCTTTAACCAACAGAATATGGTAGAAGTGACTTCATTCATCTCCAAAGGCTAAATAAATAAGCCTTAAGAGACACTGTAGCTTCTACTTTCACCACCTTGGTCCACTGCCCTGCTGCCACCAGGTCAAGAAGCTGGTCTAGCCTACTGGAGAATGACAGCAAGTGAGGTGTCCAGCCACCTGACAGCACCACATGCCAGAAAGGTGGGTGAGGCTCTCTTGGACCTTCCATCCCAGCTGCATGAGTGAGCCCAGATGACACCAACAGAGGAACCACCCAGCCCATCCCCTGAATTATGAGAAATAATAAATGGTTATCTTCAGCCATTGAGTCTATAACTGATACATCATGATATAAAATATTATTATAGAATTAGCTCAATTATGTAGACTATACACATGCATGCACACACACAAACACACACACACACTTCCATACACATGGCAAAAGAGAGGAAGAAATGTTAATAAAAATGCTATTTCCAGGAAGTAGGATTAGAATTGTCTTCTTTACACTCTTATGTAGTATTTACAAAGTTCCCTTTTACTCATAAAAATATATTTATAAATAGCATTGTGCTTTAAAAATTAATCTACCCAAATACATTGTGAACTCCTTGATAGCAGAGGCTATGTCTTTCAACTGTGAACCCCAAGACTTATAGCTATACAACAGATGCTTGATAAATGAAAGAACCATGGAGAGCCTTAGGCTTGTTACCTCCCCAGATTCAGGATTGGGCTTCAGCTGCCAAACTCTTTATTGCTCCCAGGATTGCTCCTAATGTCCACTGGACCAGACCCAGTGCCCACGGGTCAATGACCACTCATCCAAGTTGCCCTATGGCAGTTCTTCTGGTCACCCCATGCTGGCTCAGGCCACAGCCTTCCTATGGGATCCTCTAGGAACTGTTCTGGTTACCCTGCATCATCTTCTGGCTCAAGGACAGTGAAGAATAGCCAGCCCTTCTGCCAGAACTGAAACCTGGTGGCCAGGGTCTCCTCCATGCAGGGCTCCTGGGTTAGGATTATCTGAGTCCTGCCTCCCTGATGGGGATTCCCCACCCCCTCCCAGACCTCTGTTTCCAGAACCTCACCTGGCCTTGCCTACCCTTGCATAATAACACTCACCTGTGGAACCAACATGTTGGACTCAAACATTGTGTTCAGGTAAGCAGAGGAGCCCCACTCCCTCCTCTCTCCCAGCTGCATGCTATTCTGTGTGCCCACTGTCACGTCTCATTTCCAAAGTTCACAGGGAGATGCTCTGAGCTGCCAAAGATGGCAGATGTGTGCATATGGTGGGGGTACTGCGCAGTAAAGGTGACTAGTAAAAACTCAAGTATTTGAGTTGAGCAAAATGTTTGTGCTAGGGATCAATGAGGTATATGAGGGGACACTCTCTGAATACTCACCAACTAACTCCCTTCTTTCCTTTCCTTTCTTACCCTCCTCTCATCCAAACCAGACACTGCTAGTCAATCACAGCATTGCCCCAATCAGTGGTACTTCAAGGGCGCTGTTACATAAGACACAATTGTTTCATTGTCATTCACTGGAAAAATTCCAGTAAGAGACCATTAATATCTCTTAGGCCACAAGTGTTTTCTCTCCAGTAGGGTGCTGGGGTACGGAGTAAGCCTAGATGACCTTATGAACCATTCTTCTATCAGCAGAAAGGCTGGAGCAAACAGGGCGCCCTTCCCTCCCTCGTGCCTCATGGGAAGGTCACAGAGGATGTTGGGTCAACAGAAAAACCAGAATGGGATGGAAGAATAGAAGGAAACTGTAATTTACCCAACAGGAACTGGAGAAGTTGTATCTATTGCCTCAGTACACCCTCCATATCCCTTATGAGGACGCCAACACCATTCCACTTTGAGAATGGGGTTCAGAGAGGATTTCCACCAAGGAGAAAACTCAACCTGTCCCATCAGACTGTAAAGGACATAGCTTTACCCAGGAGGCAATCAATATATATTAGCTGGTAGTCTGGCTTCCATTTTTAAATGAATGAATGGGTTTTAAAATTCATAAATGGAAAGTACTAGAAACCCATTTTGTAGTTCAAATTGTTCTCAGTCCCCAAGTATGAAGACAGAGCAGATGGGAATCTGATAATGATGGAATCTTTATTATAAAGAAAAATTGATGCAATCCTTATTTATTATAAAGCAAAGTGAGGCAATTGCCTATCTACATTCCTATTTTTAAATACGAAGATAAAAATACTATTCTAGCAACACAGCTCCTGTTTGCAAATTGAACAAGAGCGTAAGATGCCAGTCAAACAAGAGGAAATTATACAAACAGAAAGCACAGTAAGTTCTGCTGTAACTTGTTTTGAAAACACAAATTTGTTCCAACGCAACTGATACAAGGGGACAATCTGAGCATAACGCAGATTCTGCATTGGCTTGTGCATGATTTTTGTCCACAAAAAACACTAGGTGAGCTCGGCCGGGCGTGGCTCAGCACCTAAGCATCGAACTAGGATCCAGGAGATGGCAGTTTGATTCCCGGTCAGGGCACACGCCCGGGTTGCGGGCTCGATCCCTGGTCAGGGGCATGCAGGAGGCAGTCGATCAATGACTCTCATCATTGATGTCTCTCTCTCTCTCTTTCTCTCTCTCCTCTCTCCCCCCCCCCCGAAATCAAAAAAGATATATTCAAAACAAAAACAAAACAGTAGGTGAATGCAGAAACCCACACCCAGCCAAACAGAGCCACATCGGGTACACAAAACATGCACACGCACACACCTCACATGTCTATCAGCTGCCCCGGTTCTCCAAGCGTTTGAGCCACACAGATCCACAGCTTTCCTCGACTCAGATGACCCTCCTTCCTCACCACACAATCACTCCCAAGCTGCCGGCTTCGCACAGCCACCTCCACAGGCACCTTCTGGGCACACTAACTGCAACCACTCAGCAAGCGCTGCCATCTTTTCTATTAGTGTGTCACTGATAAAGTTTTTGAGTTTTGTGGCCTAACCCACTTTTCCCATAAGCTGTGTTGGTTTTTTAATTGCATGATTCTGGATAGCACGGTGCTTTTTAGGAATATCCGTCACATGATAGCAGAACTTACTGTTCTTCCACAGTTGGTTCAATTTTTAAAGGAAATAGCATTATAAATTGGGACAATCCTTCTAGCAGTCAGGTAGCAAATACAGGGCGGCACAAAAGTAGCTTTACAGTTGTGAATATGTGAAACACAGAGTTTATTCTTGTATTATTTTCCTTATGAATACTTGTACACCTTTTGCCCCACTCTGTATTTACTGAGCTATGTCCATATCTTTTGACCAAGTAATCCCATTGTAGGAAACACAGATATAATTCAACAGAGATGTGTGCATTAAGGTGTTCATTGTGATACTGATGGGTGTGAATGTGTGTGTGTGTAAAGCCACCAAACTTTATAATTATAAACACTATGTAACCTTAGTATTTTATAGAATATATCGTATGTTAGGTGAAAAGTGGGGAAAAGTAAACTGTAAACTGGTTAACAGTATAAAAACAAAGAGAAGACAATATTTATTTATACACACACATATACACAGAATTGTGTTTTTAAAATTTTTAAAAAGCTAAGTCACCAAGAAGGGTTTTAAATATGCTAATTTTCCATTTTAAAAAAAAAATCAGAAATAGTTCTTCACTGCAGATCACATACCCAGCACACTATTTCTAGATGTGAAGGAAGTAATTTGAAATTTTAGTTTCGTGAATACATATTTTTGTAACAGTACAAATCTGAATTCTGAACTACAGCTGGTTATCTTCAGTTTGTCACTAAAACTAATTTACAGCCCTGCTGCTTGCTGTAAATATGGAAACAATAGTCCCTTTGCAACATGCAAACACACAGGACAAAACATACCAACAGAAAGTAAAGGTTTTGTTGACAACAGGTAAACTGCACAATGCTTGCATACTGGTTGTGTTAGTGGAAGAAAAGAGGTGGGAGGGTTTGATGCAAGGAGGGCTATTGCCAGGAAGACAACTTTCTGGACAAACCAGATGGTCAACAGGAAGTGGGGCATTTTCATGTTCAGCACAGAAGGAACCACTCAATGGATTCTGTGAAAAATATAAAGTCTATATATTGAACCATCGGTGTCAGAGTCTCCAAATCTGCCCAAACTCTCATGCAGGGAACCAGACATGGACAGTGCATGTGGGGTCTGGGGGTGGGCAGACATGCCTGAGTGCACATGTGGGGGGGAATAAAGATGGGATTACTCTGAATGTTTAAGAGAAAGTCCTGTTTTTATTAACATTTCATGAGTTCGCTTTCCCATATCAAAAAGCTCTTTCCTCCTCTGAACACCTGTGATGCAGAGTAGGAAAGAGTGCTCAAGCTCTGGATCTTACCCACCCTGGGATTTAATTCAAACTATTTGCTGTGCGACCCTCAGCAAATTATTTTACTTCTCTGAGCCTCCCTTTCCTCTTCAGAAATGCAGGAATAACTCTCTCTCTCAAATGGTTGTTCTGAGGAGTGTTTTAAAAAGCAACGTTCCTGGCCCTAAGAGGGGCTTGGTAAATGCTCATCAAATCTCACGTTTAATACTTTGAGACCTTCCTGCTGCCTCTACTCCCAACCTTGCCCTCATCCATGCCTGATGTCCCCAGAAAGAATACAATGGCCTGGCTGACCACACTCAATGTGGCACCAAGGGACCGAAACTCCAACAGGATCCCAAATTACCCATTATCCAGCCAACACTGGATTAGGCCAACCAGCTTCACCCGCCCGCACAATCCAAGCCACGTGTAAGGATGGTGGGGTTGGAAGGCAATGGGGAGATGAACATTAAGTATTGTTTTTCACACTTAATAAAAAATCCACACCACTACTCACTGTGATTCAACTGACCACAATTACATTTGTGTCTGTCTTAAAATAATATCCAAAAGCCCCTCAAAAATAATCACTTGATGTTGAAGAGGTTGGAGAGAAAAAGGAACCCTCACTCACTGCTGGTGGGATTGTAAACTGGTTCAGCCACTGTGGGAAACAATATGGAGGGTCCTCCAAAAATTAAGACTAGAACTACCATATGGTCCAGCAACCCCTCTTCTGGGTACCTACCCCCCAAACACTTGAAAACAAGATACATGCATTCCTGTGTTCACTGCAGTATTATTCACAGTGGCCAAGACATAGAAACAACCAAAGTGTCTTTTGATAGAGGACTGGATAAAGAAGATGTGGCACATATTTACAATGGAATACTACTCAGTGATAAGAAAAGATGAAATACTGCCATTTGCAACAACACAGATGGATCTTGAGAATATCATGCTGAGTGAAATAAATCAGATGATAAAAGTCAAGAACCATATGATCTCACTCAGATGTGGGATATAAAATTGAAAGCAATAAATGATCAAACAAGACAAACCAAAACTCATAGACACAGATAACAGTATGGTTGTTACCACAGGGAAAGGGGAGGTAGCAAAGGGTAAAGCGGGGTCAAATACACGGTGACAGAAGGAGATTTTACCTTGGGCAGTAGACACAGGTGATGATGTATTATAGAATTGTACACTTGAAACCTATATAATTTTATTAACCAATGTAAGCCAAGTAAATTTAATTAAAAAATTTTTTAAATCACTTTATCATCTGGAGTCTGTGCATGAAAACCATTGGTGTAAATTATCACTGCCTGGTACCCTTTGTCTGTCCCTGAGATTCTCTAATTTATTTCTCAGCATCACAATGATGCTGGTTGCTGGCTTCTCTACATGGCAGCTAGCCCCTCACAGCTCTCTGTTGCCTCACCACAGCAGCAAGAAACTGAATACTCACAGACAGGATCCCATCCCAAGCAGCAGCCTAGGGGCAGCCACATCTCCTCCCTCCCGTGCACGGGAAAAGGTGGGCTGCAGGGAGGAGGACTCCATAGGCCTGAGCCGGGTGCTTGGGGGGAAATCATAACGCTCCCCTTGACAGGTGCATAAGGTAACACAGCCCTAAGCTGCAGAGCAGAGCTCTGAGATGAAAGGGAAATATGGTGGCTAAAAGAAAATGTAATTGCCACCAAATACGTTTCCCTTCTTCTGATTTATGTAGGATGCTATGCCTGGCATACCGTAGGCACTTAATAAGTGCTAGGTGGATGGGCGGGTGGGTGCATG